GTCGTTGCACACAACCTGAGCTCTCTATTAACATGTACTGTGCATAATGAATTCTGTGAACAGTGGCGTTCATGACATGGCCGGTTGTGTGTGTGCGAATGATATCTGTTTAACCTTTAAAAAGCTGGTGTCACCTGTCAAAGTGTGTCAGAAAAGCTCACTACAAAAACAAAGAAAGTTTAAATATATTCACTGAATGTGGTGAGACTGAACCATATTTTAGAGATATTGTGGATAATTATAAAAAAGAGTCTGATCAGAATGAAATGATGGAGACTTGCAAAGGAGTCGCAACATGTTTAATGATAAGAATATTTGTTTTCTTAATTTGAGCTGTTGTTATCCATTGTCCTGAATACCCAGATCCAGATGTGGAGGTACATAGTTAGAATTTTTAACACAAATTAAAGGCCAATTTGGGGTTTTAAACATGTAATGGAAAAACTTCTTCCAGCCCACAGACAGTCACATTGTTTTTGTGCAGTATGCCATTGTTTATTTGAAAGCTGCAAAGAAAAATTAATTCTGGCAACAAGAGAGCTGTGTGTCACGATTATGACACATTTATATTTCGGGGGGGGAGGGGGAGGGGTGGGGGTGGGGGGGATTTTCACATGCAACTGACCGAAATGACGGTCTCTGCACATCATATCTCATATTTCAGCTCAAATTATTTTTATTTTACATCTGTTTAATAAATTACTGGCATTGTTTCTTTTTCCTGCCTGAGCGGTAGTGACCGCAGTGATTCATTTCCTCTAACCTAATGCAGATTGCTGGTCCTTATTTTAATCCAGTGATTTGACAATAGCAGTATTATAATGACGCTTACAAAGGGATAGAATGTGAGAGCAGAGTAAAAAGGGAGAACATTGGCATGGCAAGCAGTAAAGACTTAACCCCTGCTCCTCTGTGTTGTGGATTAAATGCAGCCTGTTTACTACGAGCCGGGGTTTGGGAGAGAGGATTAAGTGGTCTCTCACCTCTACAAGAACAGCTCCGGGATTGTCAGGGGATAGAGCCGGTGCATTAGGACCTGCTGCTTATCATGCTGCTCACAGAGGGAGCGCCGAGGATGTGATCGCCCAACATGTCGACTTGACCTTCCTTTAATTAGGATTTAAGGAAGGAACAGAAAGAGTCCTGCTCTGATTTACAGATATCCTGTGTCACGGTGTGCCCAGACACAAGTTTTGTAAAGACTGACGACAGCAGGTGGCTGATAAACCCTCAGACAGGATTTTCTTCAATGTCTCAGAGAAACATCTCAAAAACTTCTACAATTACTTAGTATTTGACCTGACCATTTCTAAAGCAGCTTTCACACATGCTCTGCACTCCTGAAAACTTTCCAACATTGCCAAGGAGGGCTGCAATCAAACATAATCCCTCACACTAGAGGCAGATTGTACCTGCAGTTTCTAGTAGGAAAATTCAGTGTGAAGTCAGGATGATGTCAGGGTGAGTCGACGTGTGAACGCAGTCTGGAAGATTCAGGATGAGTAAGTGGGCGGGGCGATGACACCGTTCACATTAAGCAGAGTGTCTCTGCTTCATACTCGTTACTGCTCTCCTCAGTTGTCAGTATTATGTTTTCTACTGTTGTGTTTGTGTTGCTGAAACCTCCTTTTTCAAGTCATAGTGACATTACACTCCTCCTCTGTCTATGGACATATTTGGACATTTCTTAATTTGTACCTGTCATCTAAGAATCACCTCAAAGTAATATTGAATCCATAGTTTTAACTCACGTTCCTAAATTGGGAAATGTAAACTTGTGAATTTATATTATTCTGAAAATCATAATACAGGACGTCCCTTTGGTTACTTCAGAACTCAGACATGATCTTTTAGCACCAACATCTCCCCATAAATATATTCCTCTCCATACTTCTTACACAATCCTTTTATTGATTTGCGGAAGTGAACTTCTATTACAGAGTAGTTTTAACATTTTAACACCAAAATCAACTGTTTGTCCCTAAACAGATATTGTAGTGTCTTGTTTAGTTTAGTTTAGTTTATTTGCACATTTTTTGAAGGAAGAATCAAATAGAAAAAAAATAAATAAATAAAAAATAAAACACATGTGTAGGTGAGGTAGAAACCCATGAGGGCTTATCTCAAAACCTCATTTTAAGAGATTATACAAAGTTAAAATAAAATACAGTAAAAAATAAGAGACGGAGAGCACTATTGCACACAATTGCAAAAATTAAATTACAAACATATCTGTGCAATTTTGACGGTGTGCAGGAGTTTGCTTGCAATTTTGTGGCAATTGAAAAAATAAATTACCAAATACTTGGTAAGTCACAGCTAGGGTGGAAGAAGGGAAAACAGTGATCATTTTTTTCATGGAAGTCGAAGCTTAGAAACATGAGGACATGCCTATTTTGTGTGTGTGTGTGTGTGTGTGTGTGTGTGTGTGCGTGCGTGCGTGCGTGCGTGCGTGCGTGCGTGCGTGCGTGCGTGCGTGCGTGCGTGCGTGCGTGCGTGCGTGCGTGTGTGTGTGCGCGTCTGCATTTATGTCTGATGTCGTCTCTGAAGCTTGTCAGACATGCCATACTAAACTCACAGAGCCTCAGAGCCTTTGTTTCTCACACAGCAGGGCTCAGGGTCGATTGCCAGTTGTAGAGCATTATCAGCCTCCCTGTGTTGGCCGCTGTGTGTGTGTGTGTGTGTGTGTGTGTGTGTGTGTGTGTGTGTGTGTGTGTGTGTGTGTGTGTGTGTGTGTGTGTGTGTGTGTGTGTGTGTGTGTGTGTGTGTGTGTGTGTGTGTGTGTGTGTGTGTGTGTGTGTGTGTGTGTGTGCAGACATGCTCTCAGCTGAGGGAGCTGGTTCACGGGCCGGTCAGAGCCGCCTTATTTCCTTTTAATTGACTTAAGATGGGCAAACAAGACCTCAGCAAGCACACGGTACCCATTACACGCACACACATGAAACGCGCGACGCACACTAAGATGCACACTAATGAAGCACACACTGATACACGAACAGGCAGCCACAAATGCTCCTTGCTTGTGCGAGCTACTTTAACAATTTGAGGAGGGTTGTGTTTTCCCAGTCAGCACAGCAGACCCGCCACAAGCTTCATGATTAGCAACATTTTTTAGTCACATTGAGGTCTGATGATGAACACGTCTGTTTGGCTGCTTTAACCTCAGGCCGAGGTCATGATCAGAGAGCAGACGGTTTTGTTTAACAGGAGACCGTCCTGCTGCAGCAGATGAATAATTTCAAGAAAAATAATTACACATAAGTCGTTATCACATATGCACTCCTTGACATATCTAGATCATTTCAGGAGGACTGCTCTGGATATTCTACTGACCTGTCTGTTAAGCTATGCACCTCCTGAGGCAAGAGGAGAAGTAGCAGACTACGCAATAGAGTCCGCTATAAGATGCTGTAATGAGAATATTTGCCTTAAATCAATGCTACGTGTAGTTCAGTAGAATCACAATATCAACAAAACAGCAGAGAAGAATAAACTGATGAACAGAAAACATAATGCAGCCATTTAATTAAAGGCACAGAGATCATAGCGGTTGTATACAGACAGTCTATGCACCGTGCAGCAGTCACAGTATATAAACATCACTCCCTCCTCCTTATGGCTCGAGGTGAATTCTCCGGATAATATCCTATTGCTTTCTCACATCAGCCCACTAGAACTTGCTGCGTATCAAATATTAGGGGACTGGCAGGAGAAACTCCAGGTGAAATAAAAATGTTGCTGTCTGCGTTCACACATACAGCTCCTCCGGCAAATAAGAGTTTTTCAGGAGTGTTCTGCGAGTGTGAAAGCCCTACTATTGTCTAAACTGTGGCAGGCTATGAAAAACAGCATAACACATTTTCTCCCACTGTTTGACCTCAGACCAGCAGAAGTCACAAGTAGTTGTCTAACCCTCCTTCACCTCAAATGAAGACTCCATAACTCCCTAATATAATAGCAATAAGAAACTTTCACATATTCCAATATCCATCAAACTGTACAACTAAAAAAGAGAAGAGAACATTTAAGTTGCTTTTTGGCCTTTTTTTTCCACAATATATGATCACAATTACTTCCAGCTGATAGTAGTTGTGATGATTGTGTTGTCTCCATGCATGTATGTGGCTGAAACCTTCATATTTCTTTGAGTTGTTTGTATTTGTGTGGTCCTGCATCGCCCTGCTCACCTTCATTGAGAAGAGTCACTTGTCTCTGTGTTTGCTGATGCAGACATGTTAAGTTTCCAGTACATGTGCCTGTGCTCAAAGGGTTTCTTTAACACCTTTTATTACCTACCAACAAAATAGTTACACAACATATCTTCTGAAGATATTGGTGAATGAGGCCCAATGTCCATTATGATTTAAAGGAAGAGTGTGCGACTTCGTGATCCAGTAGATGTCGCCCCTTGTACACCAGCATTAAACCAAAACAAACTGCTGTTTGGAGACACCTCCGCTATTCTGAAGCCTCCGCTCTCCTCCAGCAGCACACCTCCAACCCCTCTCCACTTGCGTTCCCAAGTAGGAGTTATCAATTAGAACGCACCATAATTATGCAACATTAAGCGCAAGTGGCGGACTAAATTGTCCTTTGCTCAAGCTGCAATTATCTGTGTCCTGCATTGTTGTGTTAGCAGGACAATGCTAGCGCTCTTTAGTTAGCTCGTAGCTTCATATTGCTCCTAAATTGCTCCTATTTCTGTGTAAAATGTTGCACATTCTTCCTTTAAACCAGTATTTTAAAAACCTCTGTCCATTCGAGGGTTTTGATTCCTTTTTAGTTCTAATCTGTGTCCAGACTCACAAACACATGCACTGAAAAACTGCTTTCATAAGCTGCATGCTTCACTCACTCATCTGCCCTCTCCCACCAGTGACATGCATGCTGAGGAAAAATATATGTGCCAACAGAGTCATGTACACACACCTATTGATGCCCAAGCAGAGATTTAAAACCCAACTTTTTTATTATTTTTATTTCTTGTTTGTCTCCTGCAGGTTATTCCTAAAAAAAAGAAGCTCCTCGCTCTGCAAAAATTCCATTTCAATTGATTTTTGTTTTTTGCTTATTTTTCCTCACAAGCATGTCAATCATTTTCATTCCCCCCTTCATCCATCCATCCATTCCTCCATCCATCCTCCCCTCCCTTCCTCACCACCCAATCATTGTTTTATCATTGGTGTGGGAGAGAGAAGAGGACAGGCGAGAAGAGGAGGAGGAGGAAGAGAGGAAGATGGCCCGCTCTCTACTTGTTTGTCTTTTTTTTTTTTTTTACAGATTTAGCTTCTGCGCCAATGTTGCATTGATAATAATATATCATAGTTTGTAATACACATACAGTATATGTGACAAAAAAAAGTAAAAGACAGGTGACTCAGGAGCACTGCACCCAAGATAGGCGCGACCTTTCGCTGTGCTCAGCTCGGCAGGGCGCAGATACGCTTTTGCGGCGCGCAACACATAGACAATGAATTGGTTTGAGAGCGGCCCGCAGCGCCCACTGTACCCTATCTCAAAAAATGTTGTCATGCTTGAGCCAAATACTGGTTTTCAGGTGAAGGTAAAAGCATGACGTGATTGAAACAAGATAAAAAAAAGACACACTTAAAACCACCTAAAAAAAACCAAAAAAACAATTAAGGAGAGAGAACAGAGCCAAATTTTTTTAACATGGAAAAGGCTCAAATTTGCATGCCAACATATTATTGAAATGGTTGTACAATACCATCATTTTCCAAGTAAGTTAGTTAGTTTATGACAAGGTCAGGAGGTTTACAGAGCCAAAATTCCACCTCTCTTTACTGGACAACAGAGAGTGAAGTAAAGTGCACCAGGCTCAGCTGTCTTCTCTCAGTACACAACAGTTTTTCTATGGAGCAACTAGCACAAACACACACACACACACACACACACACACACACACACACACACAGAGCATGTGCCCTTTAGGCAGAGAATAAAGCCTGTATTATACAGGATGGGATTGGATACAGGGTCACATTATGACGGAGGAAGTGCACAAGTGCAGAAATGAATACAGAGGAGCAGTGAACATGGTGTGCATACGGAGCTTCAATGACACTGTTTCCTTTTTGTTCTCCTCAAACTCTCCATATTAATATGCAGACTGAAGCTCTGCAGTAATGCACAAGTCTTTGCCTGACCGGTAGAAGAGCTCTTCAGTGAGGAGAATAGATATATCTCAATCATACATGTTTAGCCAGTACTCGTTTTTTTAATACACTTTACGCAATGATGAGTGACAAAAGGTTTGTATTTGTGACATGCTAGCAGGAAATTGAATACAAGTTACACATCACCAGCAGGAAATGCTTTATTTATAGCCATTTAAAGCTCCTGTAAAGAGTTTAGCTGGTTATAAAACCAACTGAAATTATTATCTCTTTATGAGCTACAAAAGCAAACAAGAACATCAACAAGACTTTTGATTATCTCTGTGTTGTTACTTTTAATGCCTGAAATGCTGCAGCGAGGGTGATTATTAACATCAGGCTGCAGAAACAGACTTTTTAAAACATTTTACACAGAACAGATCCGCAGCGAGTGATATGTTCGACTGTTTATTGAAGCAGGATACGTTTTTATGACTTGTGCTTGTACAGGACACCTAAACACACAGAAAACACATCATTACTGGCAAGAAGCTTATCTACAACAATTTGGAAAGGACAAAAAGTAGTTAATTTAATATTTAAGAGCCTTTTTCTTCTCAACTCTGATGTACATTATTGCATGAAACCTGCAGTCACTCAGTATTGTCAAAGCTCAGTTTGTAGTATTGAGCACAAGAGCATATTTGATATTTAAAAGTTAACATAGCAGATCATTGGATGATCTACAATAACTGTAAATCATATCTGCTCTCTCCTGTTATAATTGTGTTCAAATAAAATCAAGACTCTGGTTAAAAGCTCCGTAGGACCTCTGCTTTGAGGTCCATTTGATGGTTTTCATTTACCAGTATTTACCCTGTGTGTTAAACTCCTTAAAGTTGTGTATATGTTGAGAAAAATGTAAATAATGCCGTCTGCCTGTTGTCTTGTTTCCAGTGAAAGTCTCCGTTGTGAATTAAACAGTACATGTCTGACCTCCAGCTGGGAGTTTTGAAGTATATGCCTGGACTTGCGTGCACACAGCCACCCACACTCCACCATCTTTTCTCAATCGCAGCTCATTTCAGCATTACACCGTGTACTTGTCTGTCGTGTGAGAGGACAAAGGACAACCTCACATCATGTCGGCCCCTGGCGCACTGTGTTTGTGTGACCGCATCAACACGATGGAGGCCAGGAACGGTGTTTATGTGCATGTGTGTTCTCTATTATTTATACATATGGATGAAGGAGTGTGTGACGGTGTTCTATGGGGTCTTTGTTTGGGCTAAATAAATAAGAGGCTGTGTGGTGTACAGACACACCATCGGATTTTGCCTTGGCTCCTTTTTTATTTTATTTTTTTACTGATTACTGAACACACTTTACTGTCACTTCATTCTTTAAAAATAAAATGTAAATACTTTAATAATTCTGGTTTTACACTTTGTTATTTAGAGACATGCTTCTCACACACAAAGGCCCAAGTCACACACATGCACCAAGAGGACCCCTGTGGTAGTGCATTAATGGACACGCTGCTACACAGGCAGTGCACCAGAGGTGTTGGGGTTTCAGTGCCTTGCACAAGGGCACCTCGGCAGTGTCAATTTCCATATTTTGGTCCACACCGGGACTTGAACAAGCGCCCCTCCAGGTCCCAACTCAAGTCCCCGCAGACTGAGCTATTATACTAAAGAGAGGTTGACCACAAAAATGTCAGAATTCAACATCAGTTCCATCTCTTAAAACTGGTAAGTCTAGACACCAGTGTGAGCCACAAGACTTGGGCTCACAGTCGTGGGTTATTACAGACGTGATATAAAACTTTGAGCATAAAGCCTGATGTTCCTCTGTTTCATCAGTGATAAACGACCTGAGTGTCTTTTTCTTGTAAAACAAAAAACAAAAGATCGGCGTCATTTTCACTCAGATCACTTCATGAAACATCTTTCTCCTCACTGCGCTGTGTGTAATCTCTGAGGAAAAGAAGAAACTTTAAAGAAGTGTATGAAAGCACATAAATATATCGAAGTCCATAAACACACATTATGATGAATTGAGTATAACAAAAGGACAGACTGTAGGCCTCTTTGGATTCAACATCACACAGAATGGTTAAACAATAACAAAACCATTACTGCACTTCTTCTCATTTCTGTCACATGGACCACAGTCTGCATCCTGGAGGCCTGAAAAACCTGAACCCTGCCGACACCGTGCGTCCCTGAGTTCACATTTCAGTGTGTACAAGTTGGCGTTTCTCTCGTCTCACAGTTTGAACCATTACTCTCCACTTTGTAATCAGCTCCAACAATTATACGCTCGCAGTGCGCCTCTGATTACTGTCCTGGTGTATTTTGGACTGTTTTGGGAATCCAGAACAAACGGATCCTGGTCCCAGCAGAACTCTGGGTTACACACATTTACAGTAACCTCGTCTGTGTGTGTTTGTGTGTGGGTTTTTTTGATCGTTTGAAGTGCTCATTCCCACCAAATTACAGTGCTGCCATAATGAAGTATTACCATGCGAGCCCAGTACAAAGAGGGAACAGTAGTGTGTGTGTGTGTGTGTGTGTGTCTGTGTGTCTGTGTGTGTTTGTGTGTGCTGGACACTTGAGGTGAAGGTTCAAATTGGATGCCCGAGCAAAAAGCATCTGCCCACCCAAAGAGTGTGTACGTGTGTGCAGAAGTATGAGAATAGCGTTTGTGTGCGATGCAGCCCCACTGTGCCGAGGCGAGTGTTTTTGTGTGTAACAATGCGTATGACTCTGAGAAAGGCGGTTGCGTGAGTGGCCTCCCAGTTGTGTTTCTAAATGTGTGGATCCACCAGCCAACTGTGACGGCGCTCACTTTGAGCTCACACACACACACACACACACACACACACACAAGCACGCACACACTCAGAGGTGCGGGCGTCTTTGGCTGCAGGCTGTGCTGGCCTCACCTCCGGCCTCCCCGGCCTGCTGAATGTTGCATGAGTGCTGGCCGCCTCATACATAGTGCATCAGCACAAACATGCCTTGGATGATATACATACTGCATTGGCACCTGTGCCCGCCCTCGCTAACAAGCATGCAATCCATTTTTCATCAACACATGCAGAGGGACGGCTGTTTGAGGACAAGAACGTAGGAGGTGGTAGGAGGAAGGAAGTGTGTGTTTGTGCTTTTGTTTGTTTGTGTGTTTGTTGGAGATTGTCTAGCTTTCCTTGTTTTATCTCCCTTTTGGCTTTCAACTTTTTCTTAGTTTCTTTTGTTTTTTTTGTTGCAGTTACTAAGAGTAGACTTTAAAAGTTAAAAAATCCATTTTAAGTTTCACAACCTAATTGTTTTTTATACCAACTGGGGATGCTCCGATCCAATACTGATGTGAGGCCGAAACTAAGTCAATCAGTTTGAATGTTTATGTCGCTGTGTGTTCAAATATTTCAAAGGAAGAGGAAGCTCCTCTGCATGAAGGTACTGCATGTTAGCTCCTCCAGAGAGTTTCAAAGCTACTTTAAAAAACTACAAAGTTAGGAAACCAAGTGAAGACCAATGTTGCCTTGGAAACATCATCGACACAGGGTAGAGTGCAACTTGTTGATTACACATAGGGTTTGATTGGTATATATTATTGGCCAATTCCCAAGGCCTTCGTATTGTATTGCAAGGAAAAATGTTTGATTGGATCATCCCTAACTTTTACAATGGATGAAAGATCTTAACAGTGTTAACCATTGTGACAAACCCAGAGCTGATTTTTAACCAAACTCCTGCAGCCTTTTAGCCTGTTATAAGGGTTGTCAAAATTGGCAATAATAACTTTCGTTCATGATAGAAAGTATTTAAAAGGTTTAAAAAAAGCATAAATGTTTCATAAATGTTTAGTTTTTGGATCGAGATAGTAAAGCTGTTTTGTAGTTTTAAGTGTGCAAACGGGCAGTAAGTCAGCTTGAATTCCAGTTACAATGTAGCATTTAGCATTAACCTGTACAAATAATGATTGACTGATCGATTAACTTATGATCAAATATATGTACAGCAGGTGCAAAATGGTGCTGATTTTAGGTAGACAGAAACAGAGTGTAAAGCAGTGTCAGTATCAACCCTAGATTCATCAATAAGCCAGAAGTACGACTCCACAGAAATGCTAATTTGCTGTGTCAGAAGAGTTTTTTTAAATTGGTAACTTAATCAAAACACTTGACCGCTACACCTAATGAATTACCTTAACATTCAATAAAATTACATTTACAGCTTGTTGTTTTGCTCTGAACTGGTTTTAAAGTCAGCAAATACTTCAAGTTGTGTCAGGCAGCTTCTGAAGCCACATGTCTGCCTCCAGCTCCATCCAGTAACACATAAGGTGCTGATGATAGCAGCCATGCTGTCACTTTTATCGCTATCAGCTAACATCTCTTGCTCCTGGTCAGTGACCTATCTAGCTTTTTGCATTGTAGCTAGCGTGCTAACAGCAATGGGGCCAAGTGCCCTTTACCAAGTCTCCCCAGCAAACGCCAGCCTCTCCTAAATGAAAACCATTCCCCTCTGCCCGCTTCCGAGCTCTGCTGAGGGACGGGAGCCGAGGGGTCAGCAGCTGGTGGAGGATATGGCAATTGTTTATGAAAATGCTTTCTCAAGCCCACCAAAAACACACACTCGGGGGGGAAAAAAAATCCTCTGTCCCTGCACAGCCAACAGCTGGGAAGGGTTGGGAGTAGCCTGGAGGCTGGCAAGTCACCCCCCCCCCTACAGTCCAGATGGGGGAGGTTAGACTGAGGCTAGCTGCACTGCTCCCCTCGCCTCCCTCCACTTCCCAAACTTCCCATTCCCATTAAGAGGAGGCTGAAGATTGCAGAGGAAGGGAAAGAAGGAAGAAAAGCAAAAGAGCATGACTGCTCTGTTTTTCACCCCCCCCCCCCGTCTTCAGCCTAATCAAATAAAGCAGGAAGCTTCCGAGACGGAAGAGGAGTGTTTATTGATATATTTGCGTGAGCTCCCTCACCCCCTGTCCTGTCCCTGCTGTTTATTTTCTATCCACCACTTTTCAAAACTCTGATATTGTCGCTGCGTACGGCTCACATGGCATGCTTAAATGAATTGTTTGAAAACTTCTGAGGCCAGAAGGTTATGTTTCTTTCAGCTTCTTGCAATGTACCATTATCGTAAATTGAGCCACTGGGAAATTACACAGCAGCCCGACATCCGTTGCATAATGGCTGCGACCAGTCAATTTATTGTAATAAGAGGGTGTCATATGAAATAAAATGGCCTTATATATGAATTGATTACCCTTTCCATTTATACCATTGGTGGGACATGGAGGCACACACGCTGCTCATTTTGGAGCCAAGAAAAGCCTGTGGAGAGTATCAGTTTACTGCTGCTCACCTTTAAGTGCTCAAAAGTTGAAACTGCATCTTTAAGTAGCTCAACTTAAAAAGTGGACTTTAAGTGGAAACCTGTGTTGGGAACTGGATGGTTAATGCACATCTTATGGGGAACAGTGCAGAGGGAGAAGCTCCATCAGCTGACGTAAAGGCAGACTGACTCTTGAGCTTTCAAAAACTGGTAACTCACCTCCCTATAATGTTTTAATATCCTGCTAAGGCATTGGGCCACAAGACTTCTGGTAGTTTTAAACTTTGGCCTGAAGGTTATGTATTTCAGTTCCATAATGACTTGGGTCCAACATTATAGGATTGCTCCATGAGATAGCTTTAGCCAGCAGACAAATATCTGTGTGTAATGGCTGCATTGTTTTGATGCTGCAAAAGCATCTGAACAAAGATTATCTCTTTAAAGTGTTTGTTTTTGCAGACAGGCCGTGACAGTTGCACATGAACATGACAATAATCTGTGTTTCCTTCTTTATGGGACTCCACTGTTTGCCCAGTACTGAACCAAAAAAAACAGTTGAAGAGATATAAAGTGCACTGAACCAAAGCTTAACCCCAATCACTTCCTTTATGAGGACATGGACTTAGACTTCTGCAAGTTTCAAACTTTTATAA